CTTCACGTCTTGCAGGAGAATCTTTAAAAATCCAATATAAGGAGGATAAGAATGATTGAATGTCCCAGCCAGTGGATCACATCCCATGCTTGAAAGCATTGTTAAAAATGTGTAAGCCACATATCCCTAATGTCAAGCATTGAATGTTATATTCCTTTGTAAAGTCTGCAATAAATCATAAAACTTCCAGTTGACTGCAGGACCATCCATCGATATTTGTAAGAGTTTTGACAAGTCTAGTTTTTTAACACATTCATAAAATTTGGATTAAATAATTTCACTTGTTGCATGCCCTTTAAATGCAGAAGTAAGGTACTGAGTTCTGACCTTATTTTCGTGATGCCAGTACCTCATATGAATATCTAGTTGCTTCTTTTGATTTGTCAGATTAAGAGTCTCATCATATAGTAATGTAAACACCTCAGCATTTTTACAATGCTTTAGTAACAAAGTTTTAAAATAAGGGCCAAGACCAAAATGACAGATATAAGCACATTTCTTTTCACCACATGAAAACTGTTTTGCAATGGAACTATCCGGGAACATTTTAGTGAATAACGGCCCAATATCATCGCACGATTTAAAAGAATAGTGGCTTTTGATGCACTTTTAAAAGCCCACAATATTTCTGCATCTGTAACTTCAGATTTGAAAAGAAAAGAATTGATTTTATTATTTTCTACACTTATTGATGTTGAATTAGCAGTTACATCTTTTCCTGAAGTAGATGGTTCTTCTAACTTGACAAAATTCATGATACCGTTAGAAGAAACTCTGCAGTTGAGAAGGGAGAGATGTTTTGCACCTAAAAGGGGCATTACATGCAAGGCATTAGTAAAATTAAGTATTGCATATATATATATAATGTATATATATATATATATATATAATAAGAAATCTCTATATATAATAAGAAATGTATACTGAAAATATACATTTTTTACTATATATACGTAGGTTTTTTTTTTTTTTTCAACCTCCGATCACACAGTACGATGGCCAGGTATGCAGCAGGTGGTTGGTGTGCGTAGTAGGCGACTGCGCATCTCCCCCTCCACACGCTCTGTCACTGGCATATTGAACACGCCATTTTCTGTTGAGTTGCAGTCACGTAAACATGGCTGTCGCTATTGATTCTCCTGCGAAGTGTTGCGAGCTGTTATTCGTTTTTTGCAGGCTGAAGGAACAGTGCAGCGGAAATTCATCGAAGAATGTGTCGAGTGTATGGAAACAGCTTTATGAGTGATGGCGTTGTTCGTGAATGGTGTCGAAAGTTTAAAAATGACCGAACTGATGTGCATGATGAAGGGGGTCAAGGACGCCAGTCTGTCGCTACAGATGAGATTGTTGAACGAGTTGACCAAGTGGTTAAGCAAATAACGAAGGTTCACCATAAGTGAATTATCGATGAAATTTTTGGAAGTTTCAAGATCTTCCCTGTACTCTATCGTTTCTGAACAGTTGCGCTACAGAAAAGTTTGTGCTTGCTGGGTTCCCGAGATGTTGACTGACAACCACAAAACTCGGCGAATGGTTGCAGCGTTTGAGTTTCTTGACCGTTACAATACTGACGGAGAAGAGTTTTTGAAATCCATTGTGACAGGTTATGAGACATGGGTTCAATATGACACGCCCGAAACGAAACGACAATCACAACTGTGGATGCACACAAATTCTCCAAAGAGACCCACAAAATTCAAACGAACCTTTAACAACCGTAAGGTTATGGCAACTGTTTTTTGGGACCAAAAAGGTGTGTTGCTTGCAAAAAGGTGTGTTGGTGAGTTTATGCAGCCAAAACAACAATTAATGCAGATTCATATTGTGAAACTTTGCGACGCTTACGGAGAGCTATTCAAAACAAACGAAGAGGCATGCTGACTTCTGGAATTGTTCTGATCCACGACAATGCCCGTCCTCACAGCGCTCGTGTAACCCAACGGCTCCTTCAGCAATTTCAATGGGACATTTTCGAACATCCACCATATAGTCCCGACCTAGCGCCGAGTGACTTTCATCTGTTCCCTGAACTGAAGCAATGGCTTGGCGGGAAGAGCTTCCAAAATGACGTGGAGCTGAAAGAAACCGTCATAACTCACTTCCAATCATTGGCGGGGACATTTTATGAAGAGGGTATTGCAAAGCTTGTTCACAGATATGACAAATGCCTCAATCGTCAAGGTGATTATGTAGAGAAGTAACCTGTATTGTACATTACTTTTGGTAATAAAATCTTTTTTGTATATTCACCTGTTTTTTCTTTATAGCCCATTGGAGGTTGAAAAAAAAATAGCCCTCTTATATATACAGTACAAAGTCCGAGATCCGGACATCCAATATCTGGAATGATCTAAAATCCGGACCTCAAAGCCACCACCAACCAATTTTTTAGGGGTTTTTTAAAGGGAAGGGGTATGCTTTACGCATGTGCATTAAATTTTTTTCCTCATCATAAAAAAACATGCCAAAAATCCCGATTCTTAATCTCAGTTTGGCACTAAATAAAATATCTCATTATTGAAGAAATAATTATTTTAGCATAAATTTGTGTGATTAGTAACTTGACTCCATAGCTGCGTATCTGCTTGGCATAATCTCAAACCGAAACATTTGTTAATTTTACACCAACTAATATTTTATATCCTTGATGCCGAAATCGCGAATCATTATTTATTGTATTTTGCTTTCATCACCGCATGTTTATCAACGAATGACAACTTGAGTGATGAACTCATGCAGCGACATGCCAAATAACAGAGTATTATCCGATTACAGATTTAAGTTTAATGCGCTAAAATGTTGACAAGGGAGAGATTTAACAGAAATTTCTTTCCTTATGCTAAAAATAGATTTTGTTAATGATACTCATAGGACAAACGATTATATTTAGTGCTATTTGAATTAAGAATAACTGATTTGTTATTCACATAAAGCCAGAACCAGCGCCAGAGCTCGCATGGCCGCACCAGGCGGCAGAATATAGGGAAGTTAAACAGAAGTTTTTCATTGCAATGACAATGCCCCAATCATCAATCAATTAACGGATGGCGAAATCTGTGGTATGGTTCTAAATCCAGAAAATACAGCTACCGATAGTGAAGAAAGTAACAGAGAGGTTACTGAAAGAGAAAACATTTTGATTGACAAGTTATTCGGAATTCTCGACACAGCAATTACAGGACTTGAACAATGGAACTTAATAACTGAACAAGAAATTATATGTCTACAGTATTAGTCTAGAGTATTAGGCTAAAGTATAAGCAGAGCAAACAAATCAAACAACTTACATTGAAAGAAATGTTTAATAAATTAAACATATAAATATTAAGCTCTTTTCTTCTGTAAATTTTGATACCCTTTAAATCACAAATGCTTCATTATTTCATAAATCACGATTTCATATTTTCAATTTTATAATTTCTACGTGCCATCTTAGTAGATTTAAAATGATCTAATATCCGGAAAAATCTCAAATCTGGGATCGCCGAAGTCCCGACGAGTCCAGACCTCGGACTTTGTACTGTATCTATCTATCTATATATAATACGGAATGTATATTTTCAGTTAAACTTCTGCCCAATAACTTTAGTAATTCATGAAAGTTAATTTTGCGTCTAGTTAATTCAGGAAAATTAGTTTCAATTAGTTGTTTTCAGCTTTAAAAATATTAAAAATTTTTTAATTAGTTAGTTGTTTTTCAACTAATAATTGTATTGCCATTAGCAAAAATAATGCATTACTATCAACAGCATTTTTTTTTTTTTTTTTTATCGCTAAAACTTCGTATATGTTCCGTTACTGCCCATCGCCAAATCCCTTGTGCATAGGATTAAACCAAATACTTAATTGTCTATTGAATCTTCAAAACGTATTTCCGAACTTCACTTTTTCTCGGCTAGCATTACCGAATTTGCCCTTGGCGACCTAAAATCGAAATGGAGCCAACAGATTTCCCGCGAAATCGATAACAGACCCTCTGCAGAAATAAACTCATAATCCCGATATCCCATACATAGTATGTGCAAAAGAGAATAAACTTTGTAGAAAGTGATAAAAAATTAATTTATGGCTTAATTGAAACAAACACAGAAATTAAGCTAAGCAAAACCGTGTAAAAACAAATTGAAATGATAAAACGAAACTTAATTTTCATGTGAATTTTCAGCGCTGACTCTCCCATTCTAGAAATTTCAATTTGTTTCAGACAAAAGACTACATTTAGCTTTATAAGGATTGCCATCCATCAATATCCAGTCTTTGTAGTCAGCTTGATGAAGCCACAGTTTATTGAAAATGCACTTTCCAGGCATCTCGTTCCTATTGGCGTCGGAAGGGTTGTGGCCTTCCAGGTTGGGATTGTTCTAATTTTGGCAAATATTTTCAGAATCCCCCCTTTTTTTTTCTCAAGCACCTTCATCATCACTTTCGCCTCTTGAAGAACTTCCAGCTTCACGCTTTCGTCACAATCTGCCTAAATTTATGGATAACACCTGTTTAGGGTAGCTAATTTTTTTTTATCGTTTGCAACGCAAATCCGCCAACAGATTGGTTAAGAGCCGTGTAATTTTAATTCCATATTCATGAGAAATCGTAATTCACACTTAGAATGGCAATCATTAGAAATGATAAGAAATGTCAAATGAGCAAAATTAAGGACCGTTTATTCATTTTGACCAAAATTAAGGACTTTTAAGGACCAAAAATCATTTTTGAAAAATTTAAGGACTTTTAAGGATTGTACGAACCCTGTATTAAGAATGCTGTACCGACACTATACATTTACAAACATCCGTGCTTTCTCCGGGATTCAAACCTGGGCCCTTCGGTACTGTAGTAGGCTCTCCTAACAACTATACCGTCTGGTCACCCAGACAGTATTTGATGGAATTTATTTATCTGCTTAAATACCAGGCCTTGAATTTCACAAGTATAACACTGCCATGTGATAATAAATAATGGACAAATACATATTACTTAAGAGTATAATGATTTTCACTTACATTATTTATTCCAGAACTGCTAATATGCAAATTCTGCAATCTCTGTTTAAGATTACTTTCATCAGAATGTTTGAATGGACAACCTGTAAAGTAGAAAATTTTACAGCTAATTATTTGAATAAAAAATATAAAAAGGGTGAAGTTTAAAAATTCTATAATCACTTACCATGAAATTCACCTGGTCCTGGTGCATTAGATGTAATTATTTTTACACAACTATATGGAGAAAAATTGGCTCTTTTCCCTTCTTTTCCATAGTTGTAACGAATGTTGTAAGCATACTGCTTGTCAAACTAAGAGAAAAATACTTAATATACATTGTGAAAGGAAAAGCATTACTAAGATTGGAATTTGAATTAGTGGAACATTTATCAGAAACAGATATAATAAATTTATTCATTTTTACAAATATACATGCATATATAAAAACATAATACATAAAATAAAAAAAGCTAAAATCAGTACTCCTAACATTCATATATACCAATATGTAAGACAAAATATATGTGAGGAAAAACTCTAACTTTAATTTGCAACAGTCTTTTAATTTTCCATTTTAATTTGGCTAATTCCCTTTCCCATCCTGAAAATAGTATCTGTTTATAATAAATTGCTCTAAACTGTGCCATTTCCAAATTAATCTATCCTGTATAATTTATAACACTTATGATGCAAATAAATTTGCAAACTGAAACTCGACTAGGCAATTGAAATGAAGGGAAAATTAATCTTTATCAAACTTTCATTTTAGACATGTCTCATTTGCTTTCCCACTATCATCCTGCCAACTTACTACTACTGCTTCAAAAAAAAAAAAAAAAAAAAAAAGTTCTAGAACAAATGCTTATTGCACCACTTTACCTGTGCTGCCTATGACACTGTTTGTCAACAAGAAGTATTTAAATTATCTATTGTGACTTTTAACGCATTTGTGCATCAAGCTCCCTCATGCTGTAAATCATATTTTCCACTGGATAAATTTCTAAATCAACACACACACACACACACACACACACATATATATATATATAAGCAAAGGAATTTTCTTCAACAGCCTGTGGTGAACTATGAATATGAAACTGGCAAGGCTCCAGAAATCAAGAATAAGACACTGTAATAGTAATGACTCAACAAAGTTTTGAGTTAAATCCAGTAACACTCTACGTCAGTGACACCTATTTGAAGATTTGGTTATGAGGAAATCTTGAGGTTCCTTACTGAAAACCCATAACTTTTCTAGAACTCTACATATAGCAAATTTTTGCCTCAGAGCTGGCAAGGACTTTGGCAAAAAATCTTCATTGTATGGCCATTAAGTGGCATAGCTGACACAACTGAGAATCACCTCTACAAGTGCAATGATCTTAATAACACTAATTGTTAACTTTTTATTTGTTAACAGTAAATGTTAACTTTGTATTCGTTTCAGAATTTAATTAGGCTGTCAGACAGATAGTGAAAAGCTACCCAACAGCGATCGAAAAGCCAAACTCCAGTATAGCATAAAAAGTTTTTGTATTGTAACCAGATTTCCTTTTTTCATGCAGTATATGTTTTGAATGATTTGTTCTTACTTTTGAATTTTTGCAATTATTTGACATTTAAGCAGGGATATATATTGTTTATAGAAGTAAGTAGCTACATTTTAAAATTATATACCATATGCTCAAGTTTGTTATTTAATTCAAATATGAAATTTGCATTTGGATTCAATTTACAGCATTTTCTTTGGGTTGATCAAAATTAATAAAACATATAGCCGAGGATATCATCAAATGTAAGTTTTATATTCCACTTACAGCTATACATTCTATTACTGTTAAAAATATTAGATTTTCAGTGTAAAAATTATTCTGTTCTGTAACTTCTGAATCTTTAATAACAGAGTATTAGACACCACTAAATATTACTGTGCAAGCTGGCAAAGAGTTACTGAACCTGCCTTTTTGGAGATGCTGTGAATAGTGTATGGCCAAATACCATCATCTATGACTACAGGGTTTCTGCAGCAAGCTCCTTTCCATTATTAAATCTCCTTTGATTTTTTTTTATATTACTTTTCTATTCACAGCTGCACTCAGCCATCTTTCTTTCTTATCAACTATTATTTTTGAACAGGGTGTCCTTTATGAACTTTGCAATTACTTTCTGAACACAAGAATGATTTAATTGTAATATTAACAAGTTGGTGAAAAGATTTTACCTTTTCTTTAATAATATAAAAACCAAAAAAATTATATTAATACTGTTTTCTTTCTAAGAGGCATTTTATTTACATAACAGCAATGTTTTATAGGTCTTCTGCTATTCAAATGCTAGAATATTTTTTACACATTTCCCCCCCCCCTCTTTAGAAGGTGTTTCATAAAAGTTAAGAATACTGTTTGAGTTTGGAACTTGAATTATGTAAGAATGATTGCTTTGTGTCAGGCCACCAATTAATTAATTAGTGACTTTGTAATTTAGATCATTTTATACTTTTGTGTAATTGGCACAGTGCCAGTTAAGCTTTGTTTACTTGATGTTTCTTCTTTTGAATTGTGTGAACTATAAAATATCTAAAACGAAACTATTCTACATTCTTCAGCTGATGAATTCAGTGATATGAAATCCAATTGAACATTATTAAATCTTAATAAGAATTTACCTCATTTGATTTGAATTAAAAATTATTTATAGTTTTAAAGAAATTTTCTAATGTGCATTCTCAATTTCCTGACAAAATTTTGCATAAACATCTTTTAAACGCTCTGAATAATTACATGTAGAAGAGTAATTTAAATTTTTTGAATCACTACAAAAGTAAAAAATTTACCTTATCATTATCCATGATTTTAGTGAACTCTTGCCTCCAAAATCGCAAAGCATCTTCAAGTGTTAGGCCAATACCTTTCAGAAATAAGCCATACTGTAATCGACCATTGTATTTCAGATGATGATTTCTTCTCAGAGTTTCATGTAAATTTTGCATACATAGAGGAAATGATGTTTTTGAAAGCTATAACAGAAAGAGGGAGGGGATAAGTGAATTTTCAGCGGCAGCTAATACCATTAAAAATCATATCATGCACTTGTGCAATCAGAATAAAAATGTTCTTAAAATATTACGCAGGACCTTTTTTTTTTTTTTTTTTTTTTATTAACATTAGGTTTAAAGTTATATGTAGTAAATACAAAAATAATCTAAGAAAAGTATTAAAACCACAAAAAATAAAATGTCCTTTTAATCATGCTGAAAAGATGAAAATAAATATTTTAAAATTATAAAAAGTGTAACCTTTATTCATAAAAAGTAATTTATCTTTGAATGTTAATAATTAAAAGTAATACAAACAACTAACCATTGTAATTTACAGACATTAAATTTCGATCAGTGATCATTAAAAACCAGCATGGTGAAACAGTTATGTTATACTATAACAGTAAAGTTATAAAATGCTAATTGTTTAATTCTATTATGTTAACTAAAGTATTAATTTATATACATACTCCATCAATAAGCTCAGGTGTTATATCACCAGTATAATCCACTTTTCTATTACTGTAATCAGTACCAATGTAACGCTGATGTAAAGTGCTTAACATGCTGATTAAACGAGTATCTTCCTCCAGCTGAGGTAAGGCACGAGAAGTGATCTAGAAAAGTGATTCAAAACTAAATATGAATAAAATATTTTGCTGAAACAAATTATTATCTAAATCTAAAAATACCATTATTCATTACTGAAAGTGAGCTAAGAAATAAATTTTATGATGATGCAAATTTATTAAATGTTTGTACATAGTGGACCAAGTGAGGTTGTACCTACTTGACTTTTTTTGTACTTGTACTTGACTTTACTTCCCTTAATAATTCTTTGAATAAAAATAATACAGTAAATAGAGAAATATATGTAGATAATTTATTCTAACCAAAAAAACATAAGGTCTTAGTATATTGATGTTCTCATAGAAGCTTTTCTAAAGGAAATGTACTCACGCTCATGTTAATGCACAGAACACCAAAACTATGCATCCAAGCTCTTTAGCCATTAGGATATTAATATGTAGCAAATTCAGCATCTGATGATTTTGTCCATTGATTGACTGTTTTTATCAGAAAAATATCATCAATGTATGCAGTTACAAATTATGCTCCATAATGAACAGATATGCACATAAAATTGCCTTTAAATAAACTTATAAAATTTATTTGAAGTTCCGAATTCTCATCATACTTTTTTTGTTCAGATACCCTCCAACAAATGTTGAAATCTGCATTAAAAAGAACATAATAACTTATAAATAAATAAAAAGCACCTAATTTCACTGTTTTAATGTAAAATGTTATTTAGAAAATTGCACCAAATGATATGTTCTATTCTAAGTAAAAGGTAAAATCAAATTTATTTCAAAGCATACAAAAAAAATCCTTTGTGTATTTCATGCGAAAATGCCTTATGCATCTGCATTTTTATATATGTAAAAAATGTGCTTGCTTTAAAATATCTAACTTCTGTGTTTGGTGATTTTTTTGGAAACTGATTCACATAAGTGTATCAAGCTAACTTGGAAATCTAATCCGAATTAGCCATTGCAAAATATATGAAATAGTGTCAAATATTGCTTCCATGTGGATTGATAAAATTTGTAAACAGCAATATTAAACCATCTTACAAAATGAATTTAGATACTTTAGCATAACCACCTTAGCAAAGCCTGGCAAATTTTTGCACAAGAAAAAGAATTATTTTATAAGGTCAAAAAATAATTTCTTCATGTATATATATATTTTATATTTAATGAGGTAATTAGTCTGAAAAGCAATCAATGAATTTAATCACAAGTAGGGTTCCCCCCTCCCCTTTTTGTTCTGTTAGAAATTTCATGGTGATCACTTTAAGAATAGATACAAAGCAATCATTGCCTTTAGTGATTTTCTGGTAAAATGCTTTATTCCTGAAAAAATTTTACAACATTTTTTCCATTGCTAGTGGAATACATAGATGTATACTTTAAAATTGAGTTTAGGATGAGAAATATCATAATTTGTTTGTAAAAACCACTGGAAATTGCAATAAAAAAATGTGTACACTAATATAACATGTTGATGATTATAAGATGGTTGTGCTAATATGTACATACAGAAGTTTCATTGCATCAATGAATCCACAAATGCATTTTGCAAGATATGTGGATGCGATTTTAAAATATTTCATGATAGAAAAAGTAATAGTGTGAAACATCTGAAATCAAACAAGCATAAATAAAATGCTAAAAATCAGAAAGTCAATTAACTCCTCCCCCTCAAAAAAAAGAAAACAATTTTTTTCAAAAATTTGGTGATTTTTAAGTTAATGTGATTCAAGATAAATGTTTATTTACAGATTTTTGTTGAACACTTTATTATCTTGAATGCTGTAGATCAAATGGTCCTCTGTTTAGGAAGGTATTTCCCGATTCAGAAGTTACAAAAAAGTATTCATATGCTAAAACAAAAACTTCTGCCATTTTTAGTGAGATAGCAAATATTCACCAAAAAGATCTGATAGTATTTTGCAAAACTTTGTTTTCTTTTTCTCTGTTGATGGAAGCAGAGAAAGTAATTGCAAGTTATATCAGTTTGTTACAATTTATTCTAAGGAGGCAAAGGATGAAAGTGCTGTTTTTGTTTGCACTCAATATGGCTGAAAAGGTTTGCGAATCTTTCTGAAAAGCTTCAACTAGAATTAATCATTATGGGTTGCCCATTTCACTTCATAAATTTAGTAATAAGAAAACCAGCTTTTAAATTGACAATAAACGTAGATAAAATTTTACTGCAGGTGTTCTATTACTTAAACAAATGTGATATACATTGAAAAAATTTTAAAAACCTTCTAGAGGGTTCATGAAAAAATAAGTAAAATGTTAATGCATGTGCACACACAAGGTGGCTGTGTCTCGAGTTAAGCACTAAGGAAAACTAATGAAGCAGTGGGATCTACTTCTAAGTTTTTTCCATGAAGAAACGAAATTAAATTATCAGTTCAAAACTATTGATAAAGACATGAAAGGCCTGTCATGATGAACCTGCTCTAAAGAAAATGAAGTTGAATAAAAAAATCCTACAAAAGAAGAATGAAGAAATATGTTGTTCTGAAAAACAAAAGATTATTAGTCCAAAGGGGCTTTGTTCCTGAATGACTATTATTTTCGTTTTGTGTTGAAAACTTTAAAAGACTGTATCACTTTTCAAACCATTGCCACCAAATACTATCGCCCTGTATATTTGAAGAGATTAAATAATGAAGAATTTACATGTATGTATGTTTCTTGCATTGTGATAAAACAATGGTACCTAGAGCCATTCAATTTTGAATGACATAATACTACTGCAAATATGGGCATCTGAAAGCCCAAATTTGAAATTTGGAATTTATTTTATTATAAATTTCATATTTTGTAAAACTTTAACCAATTTTTGATTAACAAACTCAACGATTCAAAAGCGAGCAATGGCAACACTCTAAGGGGGTGAGGGTGGGACTTTTATCTCCAGCACACAGAACTGTGTACCGGAAATTCTAAAGATATGCTCATTTTAAAATTATTTTGCGACATTGCTGTTGAACTGAATTTTATGGTTTAGGTGCAAAGAACATGATATTTAATATATAATGGCAATACACAAAACATTAAAAAAAAGCCTCTTTGGAAGTAATTTAAAATCTGGAACAGCAAAAAATGTACAATTTTCAAACATATAAGAGTAAAGAAACTGAGATCACTGAGCTGGGTAACAGAGTGGATATATATATTATCAGGGTCATTGTTCCTTCTAACCTTCTTTGGGAACATACAAGGACCTGACTAGGAACAGAGAGCTTACTAAAGCTATGTTCACTAATTGTAGTAAGTAGACAGGATACAGGTGAAGGGTATACAAAACCCTTTATTTTTCTCTATATACAATAACTTCCGTACTTCGGAATACACTGACCCGCCACTTGGGGTCTAACGTAAAAGTATAAAAATAAAACTAAACTCTAATTTAACTTTAGAATAATAAACATGGAAGATTGGCCTTATATTAACAGGAAGTGTATGTAGTACAGATAACTGAGAACACTACAATACATTTAAAAGTTATCAAGAGGATTAAAACCTCTGGCCTGGAAGGCAAACAGCAACTGCGTAACTTCTAAGGTAAGCGGCCTGCTTCGAACTCACTGCTTCCTCTCTCTCGCTTGGCAAAAGGCCACAACTTAAATACTTGGCGTTCGCCAGACAAACTTTGCATAAAAACCTTAACGCTTATAATTCTGGCCGGAAGTAGAAAATAAGAAGTGATAGTAAAGATTTAAAATAAAATAAACGTTAGTAAAACTTAAGATCCTTACATACTTCCCGCCAGAGTTAATTAGTTTGAAACTGAGGTCTAAAACGACCTTGTTGAAAATTTTTAGCTCTAGAATCTAATGCGAGGCCAATCTTTTACAAACATAACTTCGCTAGAAACTAGAAATTTAAAAGAAAGAAATTTGTTACAATAGCAGCTCTCAGGATACAAAAAATTTTTTTCATCTGTACTGCATCTAAACAGGAGCTTTTATTCAATTCTGGTTCCTTCCAGAGATCTGGAAGGAAAACTAGTTTAATGAAATGTTACACAATGAAATGGCAAGTAACATATACAATTATACTTCTCTTAACATTCTTATTTCATTCATGACTATTTTAATTATCTCTCCCCGTGCTCTCTGACATGTGTTGTAAAAGAACACCAAACACGAATGTGTTTCTTCTGTCTACGTGTGCCACACTTCCTCCTACAATCAAAACACTAACGTGTTAAAATTCAACATAACGAGACCTCTTAACACACCCTAATTTCAACTCTAAACCCTGAGGTACTATTCTAAAAGTGGCTAACTCTAAAGTATAGTGTCAGAGAGCCTAACTACATCATTCAACCTTTAACACATATTCGCTATGATTTAGTCTTTACAGTCACACGAATAACAAATTTTTAACATTACTTTCACTTTTACCATATCACGGTATTTCTTAACATTTAAAATAACAGTTCACATGTATATAAGAACATATCAACATGCCGTTAATTTTACACATTTGAAAACATACATTAGTAGTACATTGTTAACTTCTATTCTTTTCAAAGCAAGTGCCAATTCTTTCTACATTGAAATAATACATTTCAAAAAGTCTTTCAGACTAAAACTTCTTTCTTGCTAGAATGTTTTAAATAAAATTTATACAATAACTTTTTACAATATTTAAGTTTTTACACAATGCTATTATACATCAACTTTAGTTTTACGCGCGAGTAATTGAAAAACATAATACGAAAATCGGTCACAACTCATTTCTCGCCCTTTTGGCAATAAAGGTAGACCTCGCATGAGGTAAAACTTCTTGAAATCTCCCACTCGCAGTAAGAATGAAAGATTAACTTAAGTTTGCAAAGTAACATAAAACTTTTACTTATCTTTGTAATATTCGGACATTCCTTTTCACTGGGCCCAGACCTTTAAAGGTAGCTGCAGATAGTAGTTTGATTTATCCTCCCTTCTTGTACGGGCTCACCCTTCAGTTGCTTTCCTCTAGGAAGCTTTCCTTTTTTTCACCAGTTCGGCCACCCTTGCATACCTTCT